CAGCAGTCAGTTCTAACTGTTCATTTCATACTCACACACACACACTCTCTCTCTCTCTCTCTCTCACAAACTCTCTCTCTCTCTCTCTCTCTCTCTCTCTCTCTCTCTCTCTCTCTCTCTCTCTCTCTCTCTCTCTGTTCAAAAAGTGCTCAAAATTCACATGTGTGCTAACAGTCCAGCCGTGAAGACATCTACGAGACAGTTTTGAGATTTCTTCAAATGCCGTTGCCATGGCAACACAATGCTCGCCATGAAGCACGATGTCGCTGTAAGTCCAATGGACACGGTCCGATCGTCCCCCAATCTTCACTTGTATATCACCGGTCCATGCCTCAACAGCTCTACGCCAAATCTGAGATCTCACCATATGCCGTTTCCATGGAAACGCATCCCTCGCCATAAAAGACGATGTCGCTATAACTCCTATGAAAATGTTCAAAAAGTGCTCAAACTTCAAATGTGTGCTAACAGTCCAGCCGTGAAGACATCTACGGGACAGTTTTGAGATTTCTTCAAATGCCGTTGCCATGGCGACAGACCACTCCCCGTGAAACACGATGTCGCTGTAAGTCCAATCGGCACGGTCCAATCGTCCCCCAATCTTCACTTATATATCACCGGTCCATGCCTCAACAGCTCTACGCCAAATCTGAGATCTCACCATATGCCGTTTCCATGGAAACGCATCCCGCGCCATAAAAGACGATGTCGCTATAACTCCTATGAAAATGTTCAAAAAGTGCTCAAACTTCACATGTGTGCTAACAGTCCAGCCGTGGACACACACACTCTCTCTCTCTCTCTCTCTCTCTCTCTCTCTCTCTCTCTCTCACAGACAGCCAGACAGACACACACTCTCTCTCTCTCAAACTCTCTCTCTCAAACTCTCTCTCTCTCTCTCTCTCACAGACAGACAGACACACACTCTCTCTCTCTCACACACACACACACACACTCTCCCTCTCTCTCACAGACACATCAAGAGAAGAGAGAGAGGGCGATCAAGAGAAGTGAGAGAGGGTGATAGAAGAGTGATAGGGTGATCAAGAGAAGAGAGAGGGCGATCAGGAGGAGAGAGAGAGGGCGATCAAGAGAAGAGAGAGAGAGGGCGATCAAGAGAAGAGAGAGAGGGTGATCAAGAGGAGAGAGAGAGGGCGATCAAGAGGAGAGAGAGAGGGTGATCAAGAGGAGAGAGAGTGGGTGATCAAGAGGAGAGAGAGTGGGCGATCAAGAGGAGAGAGAGAGGGCGATCAAGAGGAGAGAGAGAGGGCAATCAAGAGAAGAGAGAGAGGGTGATAGAAGAGTGAGAGGGTGATCAAGAGAAGAGAGAGAGGGCGATCAAGAGGAGAGAGAGAGGGCGATCAAGAGAAGAGAGAGAGGGCAATCAAGAGAAGAGAGAGAGGGTGATAGAAGAGTGAGAGGGTGATCAAGAGAAGAGAGAGAGGGCAATCAAGAGAAGAGAGAGAGGGCGATCAAGAGGAGAGAGAGAGGGCGATCAAGAGAAGAGAGAGAGGGTGATAGAAGAGTGAGAGGGTGATCAAGAGAAGAGAGAGAGGGCAATCAAGAGAAGAGAGAGAGGGCGATCAAGAGCAGAGAGAGGGCGATCAAGAGAAGAGAAAGAGGGCGATTAAGAGAAGAGAGAGAGAGGGCGATCAAGAGGAGAGAGAGAGGGCGATCAAGAGAAGAGAGAGGGCGATCAAGAGAAGAGAGAGAGGGCGAGCAAGAGAAGAGAGAGAGAAGAGAGAGAGGGCAATCAAGAAAAGAGAGAGAGGGCGATCAAGAGAAGAGAGAGAGGGCGATCAAGAGAAGAGAGAGAGGGTGATAGAAGAGTGAGAGGGTGATCAAGAGAAGAGAGAGAGGGCGATGAAGAGAAGAGAGAGAGGGTGATCAAGAGAAGAGAGAAAGAGCGATCAAGAGGAGAGAGAGAGGGCGATCAAGAGAAGAGAGAGAGGGCGAGCAAGACAAGAGAGAGAAGAGAGAGAGGGCGATCAAGAGAAGAGACAGAGGGCGATAGAAGATTGAGAGGGTGATCAAGAGGAGAGGGCGATCAAGAGAAGAGAGAGAGTAATGTAACCTCCTAATGTAATGTATAACTCCTATGAAAATGTTCAAAAAGTGCTCAAACTTCACATGTGTGCTAACAGTCCAGCCGTGAAGACATCTACGGCAGGGGTTCCCAACCCCCGGTCCGCGGACCGGTACCGGGCCGCGGACCGTGTTACTGCCGGGCCGGGTTTTGGATGCATATTGTTCTAGTATTTGTTCAGGCTGTTACATACAATTAGCCTCTGTTGCTACCTACTGGTGGTGAGTAAATATTAAAATCAGTTAAAATTGACAACCGGTCCGCGATTTTTTTTTAATGTATCTACCGGTCCTTGGCACAATAAAGGTTGGGAACCCCTGATCTACGGGACAGTTTTGAGATTTCTTCAAATGCCGTTGTGGCAACACAATGCTCACCATGAAACACGGTTTTCTCATAACTTCAGTGAAAATGCTCGAAATGGCCCAAAACTTCACAGGTTTGGTAACGATGCAGCCATCAACACATCTAAGCGTATTATGGGGTGTCATCAAATGCCGTTGCCATGGTGACAGATAATTCACCATCAAGTTAGTTAAAAAGTTTGTAGTTCAAATATTCTGCTGCTTTCCCAAGCCTTTTTACTTTCTTTTCTCATCTTAATACAAATTCATTCACTACTACTTACATATGATATTTAACTCCTTCAGCCTATTTTCAGCTGCAGAAACCATTCAACTATTACATTATTCAGCTATTTCAGGACATCAAGGCTATACATGTTTTTTTAAACCTTTTCCTTTAAATATTAAGCTTTTTCTGCATTTTTGTAGCTAAAAGCAGCTACCATTCAGCTAATAACATATTCAGCTTTTTCTGCATTTTCAGCTAAATTCAGCCACAAATGTTCACAGTTTACAGCATTCACACGCATTTTCTGCAGGAAATGCATTTTCTAGTTTCACCAATACTTTGGCTCTCCATAACTTCAGCTTATTTTCAGCTACAGAAACCATTCAAATATTAAACTATTCAGCCTTTTCAGGAATCGATGGGAAACCTTCAACTTAAAAAAAATATGTTATACTTTTTGAAATATTCAGCTTTTTAAACTCTTTTTTTAACATTGAAGTCAATGGGAGATGCCTTCAAATCCTCTTTTCCTACACTTTGCGCCAAATGCTTCTCCTTCCACATAATTTCAGCTAGACACTTCATTCCAAATTTCAAATGATCACAATACCTTCAGCTATAAAACTTGTTATTCAGATATTTGATATCTTTTAAACTTCTTGAGATATTTAACTTAGTTTGGAGCTTAGCAGAGAGGCCTTTTTCAGATTTTAACATTAGTGTGGATGGAGCAGCTCGTTAAGTCTAGAGTGCTTTGGTTGTCTTTGAACTCTGGACACACACACAGGTGTTATGATTGGGTGTTATGAGTAGGTGTTCAGGAACAGAAACAAACACTGACAGACTGGACTTTAACAGACTGTCTCAGCCTATTATTTTCTGTCTGATGGAGACTTCATACTACTTACATCTGATATTTAACTCCTTCAGCCTAATTTCAGCTGCAGAAACCATTCAACTATTAACTTATTCACCTATTTCAGGACATTGAGGCTATACATGTTGTTGTTTATACCTTTTTTAAACCTTTTCTTTTAAATATTAAGCTTCTTCACTATTTTTCCTACTCTTCAAGTTTAACATTTCACTTTCAAGTTTTCAACAAAGTCATTGCAATGCATTTGAGCTGTAACAATTTTGATTCAAATCATTTCACTTTTCTGCATTTCTCCGCTAAGTTCAGCAACACACTGACTTGGTTTTTGTAGCTACAAGCAGCATCTAATCAGAGCAGACATGCCCACAGACAGACAGAGACACAGACAGACAGACAGACGTAAACAGGTATTTTGATAGTCGTCACCATGGTAACCTTTGATCTCTGGGCTTACACACACAGGTGTTTGTAAACATTCATTCACTACTACTTGCATGTAATATCTTTATTTAACTCCTTCAGCCTAATTCCAGCTGCAGGAACCATTCAAATATCAAACTATTCAGCCTTTTCAGCACATGATGGGAAACTTTCAACTTTTTCAAAATATGTTATACCTTTTAAAATATTCAGCTTTTTAAAGTATTTTTTTAACATGGAAGTCATTGCAATGCATTTGAGCTGTAACAATTTGATTCAAGTCATTTCACTTGCATTCACTGCATTTCTCTGCTAAGTTCAGCAACACACTTACTTGGTTTTTGTAGCAGCTACCATTCAGCCAATAAAATATTCAGCTTTTTCTGCATTTTCAGCTAAATTCAGCCACAAATGTTCACAGTTTACAGCATTCACACGCATTTTCTGCAGGAAATGCATTTTGTAGTTCAAACTAGCTGCACCTTTACCAGCTTTGATAACAGTTTGATGATCAATCATTATAAAACATATCATATATATTATTCTGAAATGGACCAATCTGCACAATGACTACTTTTACTGTCGCTACTTGAAGTATATGTTGATGCTAATACTTTTATACTTTTAGTTGAGTAACATTTTGAATGCAGGACTTTTACTTGTAACAGAGTATTCCTACACTCTGGTACTTCTACTTTTACTCTAGTACAAGATCTGACTGACCACCTCTGACTAAATCCCATTTTAAGAATGGGATTTGAATATGCATTATCTATTAAAATATGCACACTGAAAAATAGAAACATTTACTTTAATTAAATGTAATATGTCAACAGATTTCACATAACTGTATTAGGTTAGTTAAAAGCAATAATATTACATTTAACCTAATATTTTTTTATTTAAACGTAATATTATTTAAACTAACCGAATGACCTAATGATACATTTAATTAAAGTCAACGTCTCAGTGTTTCAGTGTGGGAGCGATGCATCTGCCCTCCCTCACTGAGCCTTTCTCCCCCCCCCCCCCCCTTGTCTCCAGTGAGGAACGGTAAGAACGGGAAGTCCAACGTGCTGACGCTGCAGGACGTGGACCAGGACAGCTTGCAGTTCGACCTGTCAGCCAGCTCTCTGGAGGAGCTGTTCGAGTGGTACCAGGTGGCCTGGGACATCACCCAGAGAGAGATGAGCAAGCAGTACAAGAGGGAGCAGGAGGTGAGGATCTCAGAGTATATCAGAAAATATTATTATATAACATCTCTCTACGTTACTCAGCTCGCAGAGTAATTAGCATTAGTTCATACGACATCTTCAGACAGCATATGATTGAAATATACTACATACCGTGTAACCACAGACTGATGGTCTGTCAGCCCCACTGTGCCAACAGGAAATGTCAGATTTCTTTGTCCAATCTCAGATCAGACAGCAGGAGGAAGTAGAGAAGAAGGCGGAGGTCGCCATGGAGATGTCAGACATGGTGGTCTACTGTCAGCCACGCAGCAAGGAGAAGGACCGCTTTGGTAAACACACAGAGAAACACACACTGAACACACACAGAGAAACACACAGACAGACACACACTCTGAACACACACAGAGAAACGCACACTGAACACACACAGAGAAACACACAGACAGACACACACTGAACACACACAGAGAAACACACAGACAGACACACACTGAACACACACAGAGAAACACACAGAGAAACAGACTCTGAACACACACAGAGAAACACACTCTGAACACACACAGAGAAACACACTGAACACACACAGAGAAACACACAGACAGACACACTCTGAACACACACAGAGAAACACACTGAACACACACAGAGAAACACACTGAACACACACAGAGAAACACACTGACAGACACACTCTGAACACACACAGAGAAACACACTGAACACACACAGAGAAACACACTGAACACACACAGAGAAACACACTCTGAACACACACACAGAAACACACTGACAGACACACTCTGAACACACACAGAGAAACACACTGAACACACACAGAGAAACACACTGAACACACACAGAGAAACACACTGACAGACACACACTGAACACACACAGAGAAACACACTCTGAACACACACAGAGAAACACACTGAACACACACAGAGAAACACACTGACAGACACACTCTGAACACACACAGAGAAACACACTGAACACACACAGAGAAACACACTCTGAACACACACAGAGAAACACACTGACAGACACACATTGAACACACACAGAGAAACCACACTGAACACACACAGAGAAACACACTCTGAACACACACAGAGAAACACACTGACAGACACACACTGAACACACACAGAGAAACACACTGAACACACACAGAGAAACACACTGACAGACACACACTGAACACACACAGAGAAACACACTCTGAACACACACAGAGAAACACACTGAACACACACAGAGAAACACACTCTGAACACACACAGAGAAACACACTGACAGACACACATTGAACACACACAGAGAAACACACTGAACACACACAGAGAAACACACTGAACACACACAGAGAAACACACTGACAGACACACACTGAACACACACAGAGAAACACACTGAACACACACAGAGAAACACACTGACAGACACACACTGAACACACACAGAGAAACACACTGAACACACACAGAGAAACACACTGAACACACACAGAGAAACACACTGAACACACACACAGAAACACACTGACAGACACACTCTGAACACACACAGAGAAACACAGTGAACACACACAGAGAAACACACTGACAGACACACACTGAACACACACAGAGAAACACACTCTGAACACACACAGAGAAACACACTGAACACACACAGAGAAACACACTGACAGACACACACTGAACACACACAGAGAAACACACTCTGAACACACACAGAGAAACACACTGAACACACACAGAGAAAACACACTGACAGACACACACTGAACACACACAGAGAAACACACTGAACACACACAGAGAAACACACTGAACACACACACAGAAACACACTGACAGACACACACTGAACACACACAGAGAAACACACTCTGAACACACACAGAGAAACACACTGAACACACACAGAGAAACACACTGACAGACACACTCTGAACACACACAGAGAAACACACTGAACACACACAGAGAAACACACTGACAGACACACACTGAACACACACAGAGAAACACACTCTGAACACACACAGAGAAACACACTGAACACACACAGAGAAACACACTGACAGACACACACTGAACACACACAGAGAAACACACTCTGAACACACACAGAGAAACACACTCTGAACACACACAGAGAAACACACTGAACACACACAGAGAAACACACTGACAGACACACTCTGAACACACACAGAGAAACACACTCTGAACACACACAGAGAAACACACTGAACACACACAGAGAAACACACTGACAGACACACTCTGAACACACACAGAGAAACACACTCTGAACACACACAGAGAAACACACTGAACACACAGAGAAACACACTGAACACACACAGAGAAACACACTCTGAACACACACAGAGAAACACACTGAACACACACAAAGAAACACACTGAACACACACAGAGAAACACACTCTGAACACACACAGAGAAACACTCTGAACACACACAGAGAAACACACTCTGAACACACACAGAGAAACACACTGAACACACACAGAGAAACACACTGAACACACACAGAGAAACACACTGACAGACACACTCTGAACACACACAGAGAAACACACTGACAGACACACTCTGAACACACACAGAGAAACACACTGAACACACACAGAGAAACACACTGACAGACACACTCTGAACACACACAGAGAAACACACTCTGAACACACACAGAGAAACACACTGAACACACACAGAGAAACACACTGAACACACACAGAGAAACACACTCTGAACACACACAGAGAAACACACTCTGAACACACACAGAGAAACACACTGAACACACACAGAGAAACACACTCTGAACACACACAGAGAAACACACTGAACACACACAGAGAAACACACTCTGAACACACACATGACGATGTGAGCAGGGCCCCAGCTGGATCACAGAAATATGCTCCAGAGCAAACAGTTTAAACCTAATGTGTTAAGCTCGTTTCAACATTACTTTAGATATTAATCATTGTAGCATTCTATCAGTATTATTATTAATAGATGTTTTTATTTGTTTTAGAGTGCAAAACTTGGTCTTATCTTTTAAAACTCTATGCCACTTCCTAACTGAGTAGAAACTGTTTTCCTAGTTTAGACACACATGTACAAATACTGTGCATTAGAGTTAGTTACATTCCAATTTCCTGAGCCTCTAACAATTGAGCTAGATACTCCACGGGAAAAGGTGTTAATACATATGGTAACACTTAATATGAGAGTAAATATTTGTACATTTGAAATGATCTTACGCATAGATTAGTTTGAGACAGGACACACATTATTATGGAATGGTGGGAAAGCCTATTAATGTGCTCACCATCTGTGTGGAGCATTTGTTTTAGGTCTTAAAAATAGATTTGCCTATTGCCCAATCATAGTTTGAGTGCCTTTTGTTGGCATATCTAATAGAATATCTTAATATTGGCCTATACAACTTTTGGGCGGTAGGATTCCTTAAAGCAATGACAGGAAGCATAAGGGAGGACAATAAGACACATCTGTGCACCTGTTTGTTAAACAACCTGTTTGCCCAGGGCTATAAATTGTGAATCTTGACAAGACAGTATATGCCAAAAGAGTGGTGCAGGGATGAGTCCTAGAACCTGGAATAAGTTAGCATTCTAGTACTTCTGGTTCCCTTGTCTAGAAGTAAATTTTCTTTTTGATTCTTTTTAGGTTCGATGCCTGAAAAAAGGTCTAAATAACTCACTGGTGATTGACAGTGGTTGCTAACAAATGACTAAATGTCATCTTGCTAAACATTAGCCGCCTTTAGCTTAGCGGTGGTGATGCGCAGCCATGCTACTGTGATGTGGTTTCTTTATAGCTTGACATTTACAAAGTCTTCTGCATTTTAACCAATCGCCATGACGCTTCCTTCTTCAATATTGATGTGTGTGTTTCTATCATAAGCCATTCGTGCTTCAGTTTGAAGAAGAAGAAAAGAGAACGAGAACACAGCTATTTAAAATAAAAAACGTAGTGAAGTTGATGGGAGCTGCAGAACTGTGTGTGGACATGAGCCCCCGTCACCATATTTACTGAGGCCCCTCAGCATATTCACTGAGGATTAAACTCTACTGTTCTTTGACCACAACTCAACATTCTTCAGCAAACAGGATGTGACCACACAGAAAGCTCTGAAGAAGACAGCTTCCTGTGTTACACAAATCTTAATGTGGAAACCCAGTTGTCCTACCTAACCTGCACCTCCAGAGCAACTCTTCCATTCTAGAGTTGTTGTTCGATAATATGTACTGGATATTTGAACAAGTCCGTTGATACAACCGCAGCATTAGTATAGTTGTATCTGTTCCGAAGCTTTCAATGAAATGAGGAAACATTCAGAATGTTTTTTAACTTTGTTAATTGGGTTTTGCAATAATGTATAGGTGTTACATCAGAGAATTTATGATCAAATCAAACTTCAATTATATAGCCCTTTTCATTCACAAAGGTAACTCAAAGTGCTTCACAAACTAAAGACATAGACAATTTACAACAAATAAAAACAATCTCCCCCTTCTGATGTTATAACCAGAGTAACACATCTCTGTGATTAAAAAGAACAATTAATACCAATGCAGGACTGAATAAAATAGGAATAATATAAATAAACTAGAGAATGCAATTCCTGAAGAAATTGCTAGTGGGAATGCTTTATGCTGAAAAGCTGATGCTAAACTGCTATGCTGAAATGTAATGTGTAAGAAGAAAGTGAAGAATTTAGATTGAAATGATACATGAACACTGGGGATTTGAATGTGTGATGAGAGAAGAAAAGAAAGTAAAAAGGCTTGGAAAAGCAGCAGAATATTTGAACTGCAAATTTTGAACTAACTTGATGGTGAATGATCTGTCGCCATGGCAACGGCATTTGATGACACCCCATAATACGCTTAGATGCGTTGATGGCTACATCGTTACCAAACCTGTGAAGTTTTGGGCCGTTTGGAACATTTTCACTGAAGTTATGAGAAAACCGTGTTTCATGGCGAGCATTGTGTTGCCATGGCAACGGCATTTGAAGAAACCCCATAATTGACGTAGAATTGACACGAATAATGTCAGAAAGATGTGTAACATTTTAAAGTTGGAATGAGGTTTCTGAGTGAAAGTATGAATGAACAGTTAGCAGTTGAAGTTGCATGAAGATTTGTTGAAGTCTGAAGATTTTCTCCATTGACTTCAATGGTTAAAAATGTGATGAATTATGGGATGTATCTCTGGAATTATGAAAGTTATGAATGATAAAAGTAATAGCCATCGATTCCCGACCGAGCTGAACGTTTTGATGTTTGAACTGAGTTTCTGCGATGTTGAATGCAGGAGGAGAAGAGGTGCAAAATTATAGCGGAATAATAATAATTTTGTCAGTAGAATAACATTTAGTAAATAAACAAACAATAATCAAATATAATACAAAAATATAACATTTAATCAAATAAAATGTTGTCAAAAGCCAAATGTAAAAGGTGGGTCTTGAGTTTGCTCTCATGTATGAGCGCTCTCGCTCAGGTCCTGTGGGGGGCTGGGGGGGCCGTGATAATAAAAAGACTCCTCACCATGGGTCTTAGTTTTCACTTTGGGTATGAATAGAAGGCACCAGAAGACCTGAGGGTTCCAGAGGGCTCATAGGTTCAAAGCAAATCCGATAAATAGCTAGGCCCAAGACCATTAAGAGATTTAAAAAACAATACAAGTATTTTTAAATTCAGTAAGGAGACAATCATTTACAATAAAAGACAATATTAAAAGCAATAATTGAATCATGCTCTAAATGTCTCTCTGCAGTGAAAGCGTGATCAGCTCCATTCTTCTTCCTCCAGAGAGTTACAGCTACAAAGAGATCCGCTCCTTTGTGGAGAACAAGATGCCGGGGAAGAGCCGCACCAACGACTTCCTGCAGTACAACCGCAAGGCTCTGAGCCGCATCTACCCAAAGGGCCAGAGGGTGGAGTCCTCCAACTACGACCCCTACCCCCTGTGGGCCGGGGGCTGCCACATGGTGGCGCTCAACTTCCAGACTGCAGGTACTCTCTCTCTTGGTGGGGTTCCCTAAAAGGAAAGTCACAAATGAAATAGAGAGTTTAATTCTGCATGTATGGATTCCTTAGCTTTTACTGCCAACAATATTGTGAGAAACAAGCAAACATTAAATGTCATTTCGAAACATTTTCAGAACAAACACACATATTTTGCTAAAGGTAGAAATAGCAATAGACTTTTAACATTTACTTTATTGTCTATCTATAGAGTGGCGAAGTCACGCCCATCTACTTCCGCCCCATGGGACCTTATTTCGGAAAAATAATGTATTGAAGTCAATGGAGAGAGAAAACGTATCTTTCGATCCCGTTTGAATTGTGCCATGAATTACACATATGATGTTTGTCAATCTTAAAAAATCATTTCCATGTCAAAAAAGTCACAGTTTGTCGTAAAACTGTTGAAATATAAGACTGAAAAATACGCAACTAGAAAGACTACAAATCCCAGAGTCGCGTAAGTGATGTCACAATTGTTTTCCTCCACTAAGAGATAGCTAAGATCAGCGCCATATAGATAGAATCTATCTATATGGCGCTGGCTAAGATAAGATAACTTTAACAAGATGCCTGTGTGCTTAGTACCAGGTTGTTCATACCAGCAATGGGTCTTGCTCGTTCTTTCGCTTCCCGTCTGATGAAAGGACCAGGAGTGTCTGGATCAAGTTAGCTACCTAGCTAGTAGCTAGCACGTTAGTTAGCATTACAGCCTTGTCATTTTTATTAGCCTTAACATGAAGTAACATTAAGTAACCCAAAATGTTAAACAGTAAGAGTAGTAGTCATATTTCGTGAACCCTTTGAAGAGTACTGTCACCGGTGTGATCATTATATAATACACCATTTAAGCCCGGGGGAGAAATGCTAACGCTAACGCTAGCGATCTTCTCTACTTCATGCTATCTGCACAAATGGTTGACATTAAACATTAAAAAGACCAGGCAGTTCAGAGAGAATCAAAGGAAGGCAGGCAGGCAGCTTTGCATGACTTTCTTCAGGACGTGTTTCATTGTGGTGATAGTGAGGGTAGTCAATCGTTTTGTTGACAAGACAGTAGTGACGGCCATCTTGGTGACGTGTGTTGTTCTGTGAGACCAGAGATGTCGTTCATTGAGCGTTTCACACAAACAAATGTGTTACTTCACAGTTTTACGACACATTTTTTTTTTTTTACTTGCAAAATTATCTTTTAAATTGACAAACATCATATGTGTAATTCGTGGCACAATTCAAACGGGATCGCAAGATAATCTTTCTCTCTCCATTGACTTCGATACATAATCTTTCCGAAATAAGGTCCCATGGAGGTCAACCGGAAGGGGAGGGACTTCGCCATTCTATAAGTTCACAAAAGCAACCAACAACATTTTTTTATAGACAAGCTTAAAAATGTTATATATCATTATACATGTATATATAACTTCATAAGCTGTGTTATCAAATATGTTTTGAGAATGGCACTTTTGATAGTAAAGGTTGCTGACCCCTGCACTAGCCCCATATGTGACCTCTGTACCCCCCCTGAAACTCTCAAGCCTTAAACCTAGGACCAAAGACCCCCGTTCTTCCAATAGGCCCTGACAGTGGACATAGGGTAGAGCTCAGTGAACAGTGAAGAGAAGAACAGCCTTTACAAATCTGCTACAGCTTGTGGAAATACGGAACTGGAATGTAGAACATTTTTGGGTTTTCTCGCTCTCAACCCAGGCAAAAAGTAAAACTGTGTGAAATAATATGCAAACTGCAGCTGAATAAACAGTACAAATTTCAAATAATTGACTTTATCATCCACAGGAAGCAGTAACTACATTATGACAGGGATATTTTATAAAAAGAAATAAGTTAACATATTGCAAAAATATATTTTTCTTACAGGGTTTATTTTTTGCATCCCCTGAGTCACACTCAGTCACACTTGTACAGTACATCAAATACGTTGGTGGGATGAGGGTTAAAGGGAATCAGGAGGAACAGAAAATAAGGAAGCTATCATATTAACTATGCAAATTGAACAGACGTTTTTTAACAGTTGACATTTTGAGTTGCAGGAAAACACATGTGTAATTTAGAACATTCATGATAGCTTTGGGACCTTTAAGTGTGCCAGTAACCAAGGGCAGTGTCAACAAGCACAACACAAAGGTTGAGGCTGGATAGTCAGAAAAATCAGGTCCTATGTCTTTTTTCTAACCACTGTTCCTTAAGGGAAAAGCGATCATCAGGTGTTAGGAAAAGACAACTGAGAGAAGCTCAGTCTCACACACACTGGGTTACGAGTGTATTATATGCCAGAAATGAAACTTTACACATGTTACATATCACCATTCAACATGTTGAAGAAAATAGTTTACAAAACCCCACACAGCTCAGTTAACACCTTGAAACTTTGTCTGATCATTTTACTGTAATTAGTGTTGCGTTTATATTTTGGCTTTTACTTTAATATATTGTTGAAAGTTTAAACATATAAGCACTTTAGCAAGTTAAGGCATAAGATGACAAATGTGCACATGATCAGCGGTTGTTTTAGTAAACGGCCAAATGTTGTGCCATGTTAAAAGTTAGGGCCACAAGGTTTTATGGAACAGCATTTTCTCATTTTCTAAAGCAGGGTCCAGTGTTTCCAAAGCTAAAGGAGATAGTAAAGGAAAACTGAAGCTCCTTTCCTTTCATCTAGAGATTCCAAACAGCTCAGGATCAGGTTATTCATTTCTACCGTAGTAAAAAGACAAGGGATCCATCCTGACATCTAAACACAACACAGACTCTGTCACAAACTTGAAAACACAAGGTATAGGACTCAAATGCACGACCCCAGGAGACAGAGGTAAAGTATGAGAAAAAATACTTTATTCCAAAATTCAGGTCACAAAAAGGATCGACACTTGACGAGGTGAAAAAGGTTCAAAAAGTAACAACAGAAAATCACTCACTTAATGAGGAACAACATTTACTGGAAAACTCAGGAGCATGAATCAGGCTTGAGACATGAGAAACAAACGCTGTTACGCTGTTACGCTGGCTACTGACATGGAGCCAGGACAAGACAAACTGGCACAAGGGGAGGGGAGGCTGGGGAATTTAAACAAGAGGTAACTGGGCACAGGTGGAAACAATCAGGGGTGGGGCTGATGCTGATGAGAGCAGGCACATACACAAGGATAGGGAGTCAAGGGACCTGGAATGAGACACAAAAGGTGAGAACCAAAATAAAACAGGAAGTGGGAGACAAGACAAAAATGACTAAACAAAACATGAAACATGACTAGACTAACATCTTTGACGAGACACAACAGTACCGCCCCCCTCTAGGGCCGACTCCTGATGGCCCAGGCTGATCATTAAAGTCCTGAATAAGGGTCTTGTCTATGATAAATGTTGCAGCTACCCAGGATCTTGCTTCGGGACCGTAGCCTTTCCAGTCCACCAGGAATTGCTTGCCCCGACCCCTGTTGCGGACCCCCAGCAGCTTACAGACCTTATAAACTTGACCACCTTCAAAGAGCTGGGGCGGTGGAGGGGCTTGGAGGCGGGAACGAGTGTGCTTTCATGCACGGGTTTGATCTTGCTGTCATGGAACGTGGGGTGTAAGGCATGTAAAAATGTTGTGAACAGAAATAGAGCTCTCAAAGAAAACACAGGAATGATCAGAGAGTGCAACATCAGTCACCACAACCTTAGAGATATTCAGACCCTTTGAGATCATTAAGTCCAGAGTGTGCCCCTTATTGTGCGTGGGCTCCGTCACATGCTGAGTCAGTCCATAGTTATCAAGAACACAAAACAGTTCTTTAGCCCCTCTGTCCTGGGGGTTGTCAACATGGATGTTCAAATCACCAACAATGACTAGACGGTCAAAGTCAATACACACTATAGACAGCAGTTCAGTAAAGTCATCAAAAAAGCTTGCAGAGTATTTGGGTGGTCTATAGATATTTAGGAACAGAGCTCGAGAGGAGCATTTCAGCTGAAGGGCCACATATTCAAAAGAAGCAAAGTTCCCATAAGATGTCTTCCTGCATTGAAGGGAATCATTGAACAAAATAGCAACTCCACCTCCTTTCTTATGCATTCTTTCCTGACTCATAAAACTGAAGTTGGGAGGGGTTGATTCGATAACTGTTATTTTGTTCAATCCAAGTTTCCGTTAAAAACATAAAATCCAGATTGTGCTCAGTGATAAAATCATTGATTAAAAATGTTTTTCCTGCCAATGACCTGACATTTAATAAAGCTAGTTTAAGTTTGTTAAATACACTATGAGTCAGATTTTTTGTAACAAGCTGTGGCTGACATGGAATCACTGCTAAATTAGATAAACTCACACAAACGTTTGAGCGCTTCCTGTTTCTAAGCTGATTCACTGCTCTTAATCTATTACCTATCAACACAGATATCAGCAAAGCTACAGGCAGGCAGGGCCCCGGCTTGTCCTGGAAAGAGTTGAGAGTGCCATACCCCCTTGAGCCTGGACCCAGCACATATCAGTTAGACGTTGCTGCGTTTTGTACACACACATCCTTATCAGACTTCGGAGACCGCAGATGCTGTCTTGAAGGGGGGGGGAGGTGGTTGACGTAGGCATGGTGGCGTTGTTGAGGGGCGGGGGTCAAGGACATGCTGCCAACCCTGTTTATCGCCTTCATGTGGTCATTGAACTCCAGTAAGGACTTGGTGCCAACCCTCTGTATCTCCTTCATGTGGTCATCAAACTCCAGGAGGGTGGGCGAGGGTGAAAGGGTGAGTGGAGAGTAGAGAGAGCTGGGGGGTGAAGGAAGAGTATCCTCAAAAGTGTTGGTAGGGGGGGGTGAAGGGTGGTGGAGACTCCTCCATTTGTCTCATAGGTCTCCCATAATCAGAACATTCCTCAGGCGGGTGCAGTGATACTTCTTCAAGGTTTTCTGCGCGATGTGTCTTTCTCCTGTTTTGATTCCTCTTGCCGCTTGTCCTTGGCAGAGGGAACAGATTGATGACGCAGGCAGTTG